AGTGAGTTCCTTGTTACTTTAATATTTTGAAAGCCATATGTGTTGAAGGGAGTGACTTTACTATGTGACAAATCCATAGGGAAGTTAATAGATGAATTGATTATATGGCTTTGTTATCGAATTTTTTCTCATTGTGACGGCATGTTTTTACGATCCCGCAAAGGGATTGGTTAATGTTCGGCGGAAGTCTAGATGAGTAAGTCTATCATCCTATTGTTCAAAATATGAAATTGATTGCAATGCAAGTGCATCTGTGTATATATACATATATATATACATATATATATATATATATATATATATATATATATATATATATATATATATATATAAATGTGAACATGTCTTTCCGTGCGGATTGCACCATTAGGAATATATATAAATGCACCACAACGTATTCAAAAATATACCAAGGTAAAAATGCACAAATGTACCACAAAAATGCATCACAAAATGAGACGTGCGGTACGGTCATGTACCACGTGTTCAGAAATGCACCATCGTAAAATACACAAATGTACCACATCTTAGTGTATTTCTAAACACGTAGTGATGCATTCTTGCATACCTGGTGATTACATGACCGCACGGCCACACAGAAAAGTTTGTCTGCACAGGAACCAAATTCTATATTTGTATAGTCCTAATCATAAGAGAACTACTCAAATGGCCCTTTTGATTAATTAACTAATAAATATATAATGAATGAACTATAAACAATGGTTCACCTATGGCCCTTTTGATTAATTAAATTAATAATCCAACCATTATTGGTTGTGATAATTCATCTTTAGTTTTGGTAGATGTGAGCATGTGGGCAGGTGTTTTCATACCAAAATGGAACGAAAAAGGAGATGGTGGGTTTATACTATTTGGGAAATTGGAGTAAACAGTTCCCAAATAAGATCCTATATATACTTCTCTTACTATGTCGTACTCGTAGGATAACGGTTTTGATTTTTGAATGCTACATTGCTTTATTATATATATATATATATATATATATATATATATATATATATATATATATAATTAATTAATTAATTCTTAAATTCAAATTTTTAATTGAATAGTTATTTTTAAATATTTTCATTTTCAGTTTTCATAAATTAATGTATAATACAATGAAACGGCAGTAGTATTTCTTTTCTCTTTGCATTTCTTCGAAATTATGTGATAAGTTATGTCACTTTTTTATTTGGTAAGTGTTATGAGTTGGAATGTTATTACTTCATAATATAAGAGCTGATTCAATGAGAACAAGACTTTTATGATGTAATTAGAACACTAAATGCACGCGTGTCTAACTTTACCACACAAACCACTAACTGAGACAAATGTTTCACATACATCAACTATTAATTAATCACATTTTTATTATGAGTTAATAAAAATTAACACATAATTGCACGTTACATGTTTTTTTTTTTGAAAGAAACGATAATTCATTAATTCAAATTAGTCCTAATTAAGAACATTCAGACGAAACATAGGAGGAATAGAGAACCACCCCGAACAAGCAGATTTGATCGAGTATATATGGCTTCTCTATTTAAGAGATGGATTGCCATATTCGCAGTTCATTTAACAAAACCAAAGCGTAATTACACTAACAAACTCAGCCGCTAAACTTTTAATGTCATTAACTAGGAGATCAAAAGAGGATGTCATAGAAACATTGTTGATTCTTTGGATAACTAGTAATGCATCCGATTCGATCTGAATATGGTCCACACCGATAGCTTTTTTCCATTTCAACACCTCATTTTGTATTGAACTTTTTTAATTTGAGTTAGTCAGCTATGAGCAAGCTAATAAGCTAGCTTATCTTATTATGGTCTTTTCTCCACTAAAGTTATAAGACAGATTTCACTAGCAGTTGCGAATTTTTCTGTAAATCAAAGAAATGCATACACCTATTATGGAGTACCACATGTCCACATACTATTCGAGTATTACGTGGTCTCTCCCACCCACTTGCGGTGTTTAGTTTTGAAATGTGTTATTTGTCTCTTTCTTTTTCACTATGATTATTTATTGGATTATACTACAAAATATTCCATTCACCAGGAAATGTAAAAAGACGGCACTCTAGCTCCATTGCCAGTTCCCCATATCCGTATCTTCAAAAGAAAAAGATATATGGGGTTCCATTTTCAAGTCTAGGGATTGGGGGAATCTTTAAATAATATATACTACTTTTTTTCCCCTTCATTCCCTTCAATTCGCCTTTATTTCTTTTGGGGGTGATAAAGTTATATGGAAGAATGAGAGCCTAAGAGAGGCCACCGAAAAGCACATGGACAACTTTGCTTATCATCATCATCATGAAAGCAAGAAATTTTAGAAAAAGTTAAAGATGTATTCTGATTAGACGACCCAACTACACACACATGCACGGCAAACTTTATATCATTAATTTTTTTTTTTCGTTTCTTATATATATATATATATATATATATATATATATATATATATATATATATATATATATATATATATATATATATATATATCAATTTTCCTATATTTAATGGTGTCAAAGGATAATTATTTCAATTGTATTGGGTATAATTTCACTAGTATGTAGTCACACCACTTGGTCATCACTCCAACCATTTATATTTTGTGGTGTGAAAATGGGAAATGTATTTGGTATAGTATATTTTTTTGTACTGAATATTATTGACACTAATGCAACTTCACTAATAAAAGTATGGTTAGAACTTCAACTATTTTTGTTATGTGGTGTTGCAGCTGTCGAGCACACTCAAATCACATAACAGAACTAGTATTGTATACCTCTAATAAAAAAAAATAAAAAAAATAAAAAAAAAGCTAGCAGTATACATATAGTTGTACTTGATATTATTAATTGTTAGTTTCGAGTAAGTAAAAGTCCATAATGGCGGGGGGGGGGGGGGGGGGGGGGTTGAATAGGCATTTACTTCAATTCATTGATATCGACAATTGTTTTCATAGCAAGTTACAAGTTTGAATCCCATTGAAAGCATGTTGTATAGTTGAGGCTGCAGACAGGTGCTAAGAATGAGATTGTTGGGCTTCTGGCTTGGAAGATCAAGTCCAATATCTTGCCATTAAAATGTAGAGTTAAATGTTACGCAAGTAAAAATAAAGTTGCGTCTTCCCTACTAGTTATAACTTTTATAATTGTTTGATCTTGACAATTTGTATTAAAGCATGTCACGAGTTGTTATGCACTTAAGTTTGGGACTTAGTACCATAAAAAATATCAAAGATATCAACTCTTAAATAATAATAATAATAATAATAATAATAATAATAATAATAATAATAATAATAATAATAAAATACTAATAATAATAATTATTATTGTTATTATTATATTTAATTTCGAAATATTATATGGATGATTTGTACTAGCTACCTAATATTCTATTGTCAATCATGTATACGTGAATAAGAGCATGATACATTAATATTATATGAAGTATATGCAATAATTACGAGTAATAATAATTATTGGATGTTACACTTTTTGATACATTAAAATTAAAAGAGTGGTTACTACGAATGTTAAATTAAAGAGCGTTACTTTAAACCCATATGTTTAAAAGAATATTGACTTAAAACATAGGCTGATGAAGGCTAGTTGATCTTTATAGGGAATGGTACTATTGCTGGTGGGTATCTTAGTTTTTTAATGTAGAGGGTATTTAGTTTCCTATGTTTAAGGTACTTGTAATACATTATTCTAAACTCTAAAGGTCCCCAACGTCCTAGCTTGACAAAGTATGTAGGAGGAGATATATTACAGTAATTCATTGACTTAACAGAAATGATCAAATGTCAGTACGCAAAAAAAATCTGTTTATTTTAAGCATAATTTCTTTACTGCAGTTGTCGAATTTCGAAACTTGATCTCTTTTTTCTCAAATACTGCCTACTAAACCACTAAGCTAAGCCCGTGCAGACTTTTGTAATACATTATTATTGTTAATACTTAATAGCATGTGGGTGTTAATTATTATGTATTAATTGCTGTTTTTTTTTTCTTTTTTTTTTTTTTTTTTTTCATACTATGCTAGTATTCTCACTTCCTAAGGTGAAACTAAGTCAACCGAATTTTTGTTAAGCCTCATTTAAGGAGAAATTATCCTAAAAGTGTTACTATATATGTGTGAGTTTGATTTGAATATTTTTTTTTATTATTTTTTTTGGGAGATATGTCTAAACAAAATAATAAGTAACAATACTATTTAAAAAAAAAAAAATTTGCAACTACTATCCAAAGGTGCATTTTGGGTGAAGCCTGCTTTAAGACTCTAGTCAAAAAATAACTACATGAAAGTAAACTAGCCTAGATTACTCATGATTAACCAGTTCAAACCAAAAATACTAATAGACAGCTCCTATGAAAAGTCGAACTTGAAACCTTTGTAAGTAAAACCCTAATAAGGTTTAAGAGTTCTACTGATCCAGGAGCAAAATAATTTATTTGAAAGATTAGGAGTATAGTACAACAACAAAAAATTAGAAACTAATATAACATGCGAGTAGAGAATTGGATGACTAAAAACACATTTTTCCAAATAGGCTAATATTAATATAATCTTACAACATCTGATTATTACAAACTTTCAACCTCATACTTAAATAGTTTAGTAGGTTCTTATTCACTTGAATAAACCTATTTTGATATATAAACTTGAAAAAAAAAAAAGTAAAATTTTTTCTCTGTGTATTTATTCATTGTATCACCCACACGCTCATACACTGAGATAAAATGATGGGGTTTGGACAGCCTCTTTGGAAATCACTTTGTTTTTTATGCTTACTTTTATAAAATGGAAATCATAAGTCAACCTCGCCTCATCATTTGGTCTTGGTTCTTCTAGGCACCCACCTCATTTCCCACTTTCTTTTTCCTTTTTTTTTTCCCTTTCAAACTTTTACTATTTACCAGTACTCTTGCTAGTACCAGTCTTTTCACCTCTATATAACCCACCCTTCTGCGTGATCAAAGGTTTAACCCTCACGGGAGCACAAAACCCACATCATCTTCATCATCATCATCATACCCTGCAAAATTAAACCCACCATGAAAGTTCATCAGTTCACACGTGGATTCATCTTCGAACAAGATCAAGTCCCCTCCCTCTCCCTTGGCTGCAAGCGTTTCCGCCCTCTCGCCCCCAAACTCGGCGGCGGTGACGCCGCCACCGCCGCCATCTCCGTCACTCCTCCCGCCTTCGACCTCAAGAGCTTCATTAAACCCGAAAGTAGCCCTAGATCTCCCGACGAGAAGAAAGACTCCCCTCAGGTATAGCCAATCACATACATATATATAGCCTCCCAAAGGGTGAACTCGTGGCTAAAACATATATGATTAATACATTATATTCTCGGTTTGGGACAATTCCAGTCAAGTTTATTAGGTTGTAACTTGTAAGACTATTTATTTGTTAATTTATAAGTTTGATTCTCAATCGGAACAGTCTATTGTCTTTTGTCGTTTGAGTCCGTTAATAGACCTAGGATCACAGTAGGAATGACCTATTGCCGCTAAGAACTGTTTGAACTAATTTACCTCTCGTGACGTGCACTCCCTCGAACAGTGGTTGCTGTTTCCTTGCCACCCCAAAATGCCCTCTTGGTGTAATTTAGATCCTGGCTTAGGATCACAGTATGAACAGTCTATTAACCTTCTTAGTTTGAGTCTGTCATCTATGAACAGCTAGGTTAATTTACCTCTTGTGATCTAACTAGAGTCACTAGATCGTGTTTACCCGTATATACTTTCGGATAGTGATTGCTGTCTGGAAAATACCCTCTAGGTCTAGTTTGATTCCTCTTTTGTGTGATTAAATTGTATGATTTGTTTGACGCAGGCGGAGACGCACCCGGGTGGGACGAGATGGAATCCGACGCAAGAACAGATAGGGATCCTAGAAATGCTTTACAGAGGGGGAATGAGAACGCCGAACGCCCAACAAATCGAGCAGATTACAGCGCAGCTGGGAAAGTACGGTAAGATTGAGGGGAAAAACGTGTTCTATTGGTTCCAAAACCACAAAGCGCGAGAGCGGCAGAAGCAAAAGCGGAACAGTCTCGGACTCAACCACAGCCCAAGAACACCTCCGCCGCCGCCCATAACCACCGTTTCATCATTAACGTTCGACCCTTGGGTATGTAATACAATATTACTATTACTGTATAACAACGTACGTCGAGGTAATTAAGGTTTGATAAATTATTGTCGCAGGGGGAAGATATTGCATGCAAGAGAAAATGCAGGCCGTGGGCGTTTGAGTGCTTGGAAGAGGAGAAAAGATGGGCCTGTAGCAGAGAAGAAGGAGATGGAACTCTAGAACTCTTCCCCTTGCATCCTGAACTAGGAAGATGATATGATGATGCCTGGGCAACCTTAAAATAATAATGATTTCTGACTCATCGTAATTCTTGATGGCTAGCTAATTAAGTCCGATGTTGTTTTCCTTTCCTGATCTCCCTCGGGGGGTTCTTGCTTTTCTTCTTTCCTTAGTTTCAGGAAAGAAGACAAGCAAGTTGAATTTATTGTATCTTTCTAGCTACCACTGCCTCTCTCTTCAGTTCTCGCTCTCTAATTCTGGGTATTGAAAAGTTATTCTTATTCTTGACTACATCTGAGATTCACTAGTGTATTGGGTAATTTTTTATGTTTTAATAAACTTGAGGAATCGAACTTGAAACCTTAAGATTACACAGCCAAACTGTATTGCCTAACCAACTTAACTAGGATTGTCCTGTACATATTTTCTATATTAGCTGTTTATGATGTTTAGGGTTTCCTGATGAATCCCTATCCGGCCAATTAGGTCAAGCACTTAAAAACAAGATCTAGCGTCAAGTTTTGGAGGGCGGCCTTTAGGGTGAGTTTTAGCCAATTCAAGACGCCTTTCTAGCCTTAAACGCTAGCGGGTAGATACATTTAGTGTCGATTTTCAAAATATTTTTTAAAAACCGACATTATGCCCCAGTAGTGGACAAGAGCAATGTCAATCGTACATCGACACTAGCTAGCTTGTATCTAGTGTAGGCGGTTTTAAAAACCAACTCTAGATGTTGGTTTTATAGTAGAGATAATTGACACTATGCCTTGGTAGCAGACAAGATATATAGAGCAACGACAATCATACCTTGACACTAGCTAGCTTGTCTCTGTAGGTTTAAAAACCCCAATAATCATGAAATACAGGCAAGTTACTGGCTCTATTACATAAAGAACCTATCTGTTCAAGGCATCTTTTGAAAGTTACTGGCTCTATTACATAAAGAACCAATAACGCCTCCACTCTGAGGCTCAAACTCATAATCTTCCAAATGAAAATCCAACCCAGGTACCATTGGACCACATAGTCCTGGTATGTATTAAAGTATTTATATTAGATAAGATTGTTTTGACTTAAGAAGATGGTTAGAAGAAGGTGTTAGGTTAAAAGGTGATTATGAAGAAGGGCAAGTACAGGACACTGAAGTCCAGGCAGCAGCTGCTAATAAGCTCACACATATATACTACATATATATATAGGCCATCTTTATCCCAAAGTCTAATCGTGGTTTACATAAATATAGGAGTAGTTAAATTACTATTTTGAAAGATGGAGGATTTCAAATTTGCTTTCATTTCATGCAATAGTAGAGGTGCAGAGAATTTAAAAATGAAAGAAATCTTTCTTCAAAAAATAAAAAATAAAAAATGAAAGAAATCTGTAAGACTTTGATAAAAGCAGATTGTCAATCAGCTCAGTTGATGGCGACGACATGCTAATTATTTTTTAATTTTTTTTTAGGAAATTAAATTATTTATTTATTTATGCAGAGAGTAAGTAGTGGAATGTGGGGTTGATGTTAGGAATGTCGCCGTCGAACCGGAAAGTTTTGCCTTCACCTATCCAATATTAAAATATTTTTTAAATAATAATATATAACTTTTTAATTAGAATTCATATTCATATTATATTTAAAATATAATTAATAATTTGAGTAATAATTATGGTAAGATTAATATTATTAAAGTAAAAATTTTAATATAATAAAATACTAAATATAATTATGATAACATTTAATATATAATAATCTAAATAAAATCAAACTTATTTCTTATATTACTCCAATATATAATGTTTATATATATTATTACTATTGAAGAATATAATAAAAGATATTGTGTATGCATGTGCATAGTAATAATAATGTAAAAAAAATAACAGAAATAATATAATAGTTGAGATATTTTTGTCCAAAAAATTGTATAATACAACTTGCATAATGTATAAAAAGATTAACATAAAAAATAATCATAAATCAGGGATATAACATGAGTTTAGATTAATTATATATATATATATATATATGTGTGTGTGTGTGTGTGTGTGTGTGTGTGTGTGTGCGCGCGCATTGCCATATTTTATTGTTAGGGTTATAAATTGCCTTTCAGTATGCAAGATCTGAGTTTTAGCCTTAGCCTACGTATCAAGGAATGCTCTATGTAATGAACTTGATCTAAAGAATGTTAGTAAGAACTGATCTCATAATTTTCTAATATGAAAATCTTGCTCTATCACTTGTTCACTCCTTTTACAACTACTTCAATTCGTAGCATATTTGTCGTGATTGTTGGACATTGGTTGTTGATTAGGAAAATTCAAAATATTTTTTGACAATTCAAAAAGTTTGTGCTTTGACTTGAAATTAGTTTGGGTTAAGTAGAAATTTTATTTATTGAAATCAAGAATAATAAATTTGGCCTAAGTATGCGATTGGCTAACTAGAATTATGTATAAAAATTATCTATGATAAACTTTGGAATAGTGATTACGGATTTTTCTATATATTTCCAATTTTGTACTAGTGTATTACTCAAAAAATTAACCTAATTTTTTTATTCAAATTAATCCAGTAAGTAAAATTAAATTATTCATAATAGCAATTTTAATAAATCGTGACATATTGACATGAAGTTTTGACAAGAAAGTGTGCAGGTTCAAAAGGATTGGAATTAAATATTCCTAGCTCTAGTATGACTATGATTAAGATGATTTTTTGTCCTATAAATAAAACGTATCCTTAATTCTTGAAGCTATCAACTATCTCCTGAATCTCGTGAAGGCATCTCGCAGGTTCTTGAAGCAAGGTCTTAGACTTTTTCCGGTAATTTTTTCAGTTACATTTTTATATATGTTATATTTATTATTTATTTATTGGTCAAATCAATTCTTTCTTACTTATTTATTTTTGTAACATTTTTTTGTCCAATTTTACATGTTTTACTATTCATTGATCAAACTAACTCTTTTTAATTGTTAATTTTCTTTAATAATTTTAATTATTATTTTTTTGGGTGTTTAATAGTAGTTTTGATGTAATTTCTAAATACTGCGTATATAAATTTTATATATTAATACTAACCTTAATATTATGAAAAATTAAAAATAACTTTAATTAAATATCATTAATCGAACCAGACAAATGATATGAGACGGAAGGAGCATTTTTTAAAATTATTTTTAAATTACTTTTTTTTTTGTGCTTAATAGTACTTTTAATATAATTTTTAAATATATAAAAAAAATAAATTTTAAATAATTTCAATAATTAAGTGTGGTTAACTGAACTAGGGGTGTAAATGAGCCGAGCAGCTCGGTCAAAGCTTGGCTCGAGTTCGGTCAAAATCGGGTTTGAGCCGAGCTCGAGCGGCTCGTTTAGTAATCGAGCTTGAGCCGAGCCTAGATATTCTAGGCTCGTGGCTCGTCGAGCTGCTCGCGAGCCATATAATATATAATATATAATATATATAATACATAATATAATATAATATAATATAATAATATATAAAAATAACAATTAGAAATTAAAATTTTGAACTCAAAATTCCTAAAAGATTTTTATTATTTATGTATTGATTAAACAAAGTAGTTTGAATTTTATATCAAAAGTATTAAATAGGTCAAATTCAATGTCAAAATCGAGCTCGAGTTTGAACTCGAACAATACCGAGCTTGTGCTCGAGCATCAGTTCTTGAGCTTGATCGAGCCCGAGCTCGAGCTCGAGCCAAGCCTCCATTAACAAGCTCGAGCTCAGCTCGACTCATTTACACCCCTAAACTGAACCAAATATATAAAATAAGACAAAGAGCGATTATCTAGTAAATATGAATCAAAATAAGTTTAAAACAAAATTTCAAGATTAGTTTAGTAAAATAACTTTGGGCTTAAATAAGCTTTAAATATATATCACTAATTAATGTTTAACTCATATTTGGGTTTGCGTACAATTACAATTCAAATAAGCCCAGTTTGCATAACTGGACATGGGCCTCAAGACGATTTGGGCTTGGTATCAAGTCAGCCTAACTGTCACCGTTGACCGTTATGTCAATCCGAACTAATTTTCCTTAATCACAGGAGATATTATTAAATCGCAATCTACAATATCTACTTATCCACTAATGATGGTACTTAGACTTCTAAACCTTACTTAGCTTCCTGAAATTAGTTACCAGAATCTTAGATTATTTCGCCCCTATTTTAGCAAACTGGAGAATCGATCAACGGTGCAGCATCGCATCGTACACGTGTCGGGTGTTTTCGCGGTCCAGATTTCGCTCCACATTCAACTAGGGTTCTTTTGCAACCGCCACTGACACTCTGCTCAGTATTTAAACGTTGCGGTTTCATTTCCGCCGGTTTGCGGTGCAGTTCTCTCTGCCCTCCCCTGAAAAAGCCAGATATATTTTCTCCGATCGCCGGCGGAAGCTTTGTTAATCCCTGTTTTACCCTGCCGTTCCTTGTTATTTGCATTCTAAACCCTCGGGATTGTTGTTGTTTCGACTCACCTGGTTGCCGTTTTCGTTCGTGTTAGCTTGCTAGGGTTTTATACGGGAGACGAGGAAGATAATCAGCGGTTGTTGAAGAAATGGCGCAGATTCAGATGCAGCATCAGAGTCCGGTGCCGGCACCGAACGGAGTGCCGGCGGCGAGTGCTGTTGCCGGCGCCGCCGTCTCCATCGCTGCTGCAGCTCCTGGTGGTGCTGGGGTTGCGAGCCAGTTCACTACGACGTCGTTGTATGTTGGGGACCTGGAGCCGACCGTGACAGACTCGCAGCTCTATGATGTGTTCAACCAGGTTGGTCAGGTGGTTTCGGTTAGAGTTTGTCGGGACCTCAGCTCTCGCCGATCCCTCGGCTATGGATACGTCAACTATAGCAATCCTCAGGATGGTTAGTTCTCTTCTACATTGATGCAGAACTTTTAATATTATCGATTAAATGGAACAGTCTATGCAGTCTGGTTTGCATTTGCAGTGTTTTGTAGTTTAAGATAGTTGTGTAACATTCTGTCTTCATAACTTTTCTTTTTGTTGCATATGTTTTGGTTTTATGATGACATGATGCAAATACTTTGAATTTGGAAATTAAAAAAATAAAAATTATCCTGTCATTTTGATGTGTCTTTCTTGTAAAAGTTGCAAGAGTTGGTCTAGGAAATCAGGACATTTAGCTGACACTTTAATTTCTGCAGTTGTGAATTGTGATGCATGTGGCATTTGCATGATTAGGTGATTATTGTTATGCTCTTTGTTTTCCATTTCTATTTATGCTCAGTTAACATATAATGGTACCCTTTTGGGAGGGTCACTCATTTGTTTTCTGGTGTTACGAACT